CCTCAGGCACTGATGAGAGTAAATTGAATTTTTTTTGGGTTTCAAGTGTTTTATGGGAAAACAGCTTATTTTTCGGTTTTTTTCGACTGGAACGACGTCAGGGGATGCCCAGGAACATTTCCAGAGACTGTTTTCGCCGAAATCTCTCGGTCGGGTTTTCGAGGTCTGGGGTCCCCTCAGGGATTTCCAGAAACTTTTAATTTTTGTTTTTCACCAAACACATCCAGACATACGAAGTAGACCATGCTGATCACGAATATCGACATTATAACTTCTGAAACCCTCTCGTTTAATCAGAATCCAGAGATTACCTAGTTTTGTCAAAAACCCTGAAAATTCAATACTAAATTAAGTTTTTCATAAAAACGTGTTTGAAACCTACATAAAAGAACAGCATTCGACGCAAAAATGCTCGCTGCATCGACGTGTGTAACAATATCAATACATTTCATGTCAGCGAGGAGAAAAAATCTCCCAAATACCCGAAAAACCGAGGTTTTCCAACAGTCTTAGCCCCATTCTGTATTCTTGCCAGTTACTCTGCAGAACCAAACGTGGCCACTCTATGTATCTTCGTATGCTCTTTCCACCTATGAAATTAAAAACTCGACATAAGTGGTGGAAGGGTTCTCTAGAGGGTCTCCAAGGGTTTTGCGAGGTTGAGGGAACGCAAGCCAACGCCCTTTGGTGACTTATAAATTGAACACAATGTTCTCGCCTCCTTTCGATCGGCGCTCGCTGGGGCCCTGAGGTCCTTAAGTTCCCCATAAAGTGAACTTGTTCCATAAATTATACAAAAGACAAGGAACATTTGTCCTTGAATAAGCTCGGACTCTAACTCCAGATTTATGTGCGTCTAGTAGGCAAGGATAGTTTGTACAGTATCCCTCCATCTATGTTTTTTCTATTATTGAACCTCTCAATGGGTGAATAATCCTTTCTGGAAGAAAAAGAAGCAGCTGGAAGTTCAGTCCTGATCATACATAATGAGTATCAAGCACTAGTGAACACATACATATGATATCTATACTAGACGAACTTCTTCTATACTAATGCTATTACTCATTTCTTAACTCTTATTATTCCTCTTTGTAGTGCGAGTATATTCATCAATCTCAAACAAGCCTGTTATATCTGTTGTTAATTCAGGTGGATTAATATAATGCTGAATAAGAATAACTTGTATATATAATTTTAGACATCGACTTGGTTTACGTGTACCATGTTCAATTTTTCTTAAACTTAGCAAAATTTCATCTAATAATTTCTTACTCGTAAAAATAAAAAAGAAAATCAAATAATTATCTAAATAAACAGATTTTTCTTATTTATGCATACCTGTTCTTTCAGCCATTTCTTCACCAAATCTTCACCAGCCATCTTTCACCAAACACATCCAGACATACGAAGTAGACCATGCTGATCGCGAATATCGACATTATAACTTCTGAAATCCTCTCGTTTAGTCAGAATTTAGAATTTCACTTAGTGGCAAAACTCGATGGTCTTATGCAGGCTCTCTTAAGAACTTTTCCCCCGAAGAAGCCTAGATTCTGTCCCATTGAATTTAAAAAACCTTCGGAGACTCTTCTTTTCACGCTTTCAAGACCTGCTTGCAAGTTTAGAGTTTTAGGGTTTGATGAGTTTTTCGAATATGCAACAAAGACATGCTTTTGATTGCCTGTCGGAACGGAATAGTTAACGAAAATGTAGAGTCAAATGCTAGTTGAGTGAGACTTTTATAGTGAACACTAGATAAAACTTAGCCTACTATTTCGATCTACTCTACTTTGATTAGTGCTATCTTTCTTCATCTCTTCTCGGCAACAGACAAGGTGATGAGAGAAAAAAATTATGTTACCTTGCAAAATGCTTTGATTACTCAGCATAGCACTAAAAACTAACTCGAAACGACTGGAATATGTACTTAGCGTGATCATCTTTATTAAGAATACACGTCTAGAATAATCATCGATGTAGAGAGTTCATGTTCGGGTATTGAATTTGGCCTGACTATACCAGGGCCACTCGAATCCATGTTTGGTGAGCCATTTCTTTTCTTCTTCTGATAATCTCCTTTCACCACGTTTCCACGTTCCATCTGCCTTCAATACAGCACCATCGGTGAAATGAACGTGAGCCTGTGCAAAGAATTTATCTCAGCGCGAGTAATTGCGTGAGTAATTGCGTTTGAGTAATTGATATTCCACTGACGTCCAATGGCTTGTGACATATAATTTGTCCCACCCCCTTCTGACTCTCCCCTGGCTGAACTGCATGGAATTGAGAACTCCTTTTTTTACCATATATGTCAAATGGGTACCACACGTTATGCTGTAAATAGCACGACTACAGCTTATTTCTAAAGGAAAAAGTTTGAAAAATACATCAAACTGTCCCACCCTCAAACATATCTCTAGAATTGTTTTGGCTAGTACATAAAGGCTCAGATTCTACGATTATACGAATTTGGACACTCTGAATCGAATGACCGGCCCAGTTTCCTGAAAACCAGCTTAGCAAAGGATTTCCCGAAAACCTGGATTTCTAGAGACCTAAGCTTCGAAATTGTCAAAAACCACATTTTAAGGATGCCAGTTGATAAAGCACATGTGCAAACCCATGTTTCAATGCGTTTTTAAGCTAAATTGTAATTCTTTAGCTGGAAAGCAGAGAAAATCGAATTTTCGATCCTAAGTCAAAAAGTGAACAGCCACGATTTGGGCTAAGAAGGTCTTGGTAGTTTCTATAATATCATCTCTCCGTTTTCTAGAAATGCGTTAAAAAACTTCTAAAAATCCGCCTTAGAACCACTTTCTGTTTAGGAATCAATGATAAAAATTCCAGTTAAGTGCTCGTCTACATTTTGTAATGTCTGCCAAAGATGACAAAAACTACTGAAAAAGTCTTCCAGAGGCCCGGGAGATTCAGCGTGGTCGATCACCTACGTTTCCGTTCTCTTTCAGAATTGCCACACCTAAGGAGATATCGATCGTGGGGCTCTCAGGAAATCCGATGCCACATCCGAAGCAGGAAAAATTAAGAGTTCAGTTAGTTCTCATTTTCGAGAGGACACTTTGGACTATCTGCCAATGAAAAAAAACTGATAGATTGATATCTCAGTTTCCGGAGACCCAGACTTGCTTTCGAAAGATTCCCTAGCAAATTGGTCTTTCCAATGCTTTCGGAAAACTGCTTTGCTTAAGAAAACATAGGCTAAACTATCCTATTCTCATCGCTGAAAGCCGCTGGTCTCTAGCTTTTGTTGTCTTTGAGTTAATGCTCATGCGCTAATTAGCGAGTTTGGTGTACAAAGAGTTAAAGGATCTTTTATCTTATTTGAATCTAACAAATACGATAGTGCCAAAATAACATGATTTTATAGGTTTCAAGGGATCGTCCAAAAAAAGAAAAAACTGGTAGTTTGCAAAACCAGTTAGTCTAATACTTTGAAGTAGCCTCTATCCACTGATGGCACTATAAAGTGTTGCCGTTTACTGTTTTTTGGGATCATTTTTTGAAAAAGAATGGTACAATAAACACCAGAATCAAGTATTTGTATTCCACGTTTTAGGGAACCACCTGATTTTTCAAAGATCCTCTGATATACCTACTTTGGGAAAAGACTTTTAAAATGATCTTTAGTATGAAAAGGTGTGGTCAGATCTTGACTACAACACATCGGAAGCCGCACGTCTTCATGTTGTTCCGTTAAAAATTTATAAGAAAAGGCCTTTATCCATTTGGACAGATAATCCTTGACCGCTGATGGAAGTTGCAAACGGAACTGTCAAAATTTTCTTTGCAAAACTTCGATTGCCTGCACGTTTCAATAACCGTTGCAGGTTATTTTAGTGGCATAGGACGTGTTCTGTCGCAGATTTGATTCTTTCCGGGACTTTTTACCTAGTTGTACAAATGAACACCTTTTCTTTCTCTTTAGACTAGCAGCTTCAAGCATAACGCGAGTAAGTGATCAAAGTTATATGCGATGAAAGATACGATAGTCTAATGTAAGGATTGAAACACGTCGTGAAAAGGGGACCAAAGGCGTAGTTCGGAGGATTCCTTGGTTCTTTTGAAACTAGCTTTCATTCTATAACAACTACGTGTCAAATGGATCTTAATGCATGAACATCAGAATGGTATATGTAAAGTTTATTTGCACGCGCAAAGCACAGATCAAGGTTGTAAAGAGTGTTGAAGAACTTACAGGCTCTCTGTTATATACGGCAGCAGTAGACTTTTGCTTAATGTGTGTGCAGGAGCATAAGGAATTCGGTGTGAAAGTTAAGCTCAAGCACTCTGTTTACATGCGTGGAAGCAAGCGTGAAAACTGTCGAACGCGTACCCACGGCGTAAAGATGATCAAATTGTCCACATGAATATAGGACACATCATTTTAGAGTGAAAAGAAGGTAGAGCGTTAGATGAAAAATGTATGTGACTCCATTGAAAATGCAGATCTACTCAACGTATAAAAATGTAATAAAAGTCAAATAAAACTTAATTAATGCTCTTCTTTTGTCTTTCTTTTAGTTGTTAAATAGATTAGTTCTTACATGCTGAAAACGAAACAACAAAATGTATACAGTTTTAAATATTGACTGTTTTAGAAGACAAAAAAGGTCTGGAACTTTTGTTTTAAGCAAAAAAACAACTAGGAATAATTTCCATATAATTTTTAGACAAACGTCATCATTTATTCACCCGTGGTGATGCCGCTAATATCCATCTTCATTCGGTAATTTCTAGGAAAATGATAGGATACATATCTTTTTTCAGGGCCTCATTTGAGCGGCGTGCTTTGCTTGTGGGTGTGTCGCTCACCATTTTGGCAAATTTTAAACTGTTGCAGGAGCCTGCTTTTCTCTCGACAGAGCCCTATATACAATAACATTGGGACACAATATTATTGGATAGCCAATAATATTGTACAATATCTTCAATAATGATTGGTATTGGTGCATGCCTACATGAAAGCCAAATAGAAGACCATGGTCTTCTATTATGTCCACGAAAAAAATCCGAAAATACCTTATACCTACCTATAGGGGAATTTTCAAAAAAATTTCGCCAAAAGGTACTTCTAATAGGGGACGGGTATTACTAAAATACGCTAACACCCACTAACACCCC